GAGAGAGAGAGAGAAAGAGAAAGAAAGAGACAGACAGACGGCCAGATAGGTTAATAGACAGAGAAAGGAAAGAAAGGGGTGGCGGCTTTGGAGATTCCTGTACTTGTGGGGTTTTTTTCTTTTCTGCTGTTAATATTATGTTTATGTGTTAATTATCGTCACAGTTTTGTATTACTATCTCAATAGAACCGCTCAGTGGATATTGTCTTTATTGACCATGCCACCGTTTCTAGAATACTCTGATAATTTGAACCGATTCCCCTCAACAACCTGAGGTAGCCTACCAGAGGAAGGAAAAAGTTAAAAAAAAAAAAAGAAAAAAAAGAAGTAATTTGAACTAATAGTAATGCACAGTTGCCTCGCATTTTACCGCGATATCGTACATAAATCCAAAGCAGTTTTTATCATCTTTCTTGAGTTTTGAGTAAAGAGATAGGCCTACATATCGACACATTAACGATCATAATACAGTGCAGGGAAGAAGCAAGACTTATAAACAGAAACAGCAGGGAGACCAGAAAAGAAGGTTAGGACTTACCAGTGGCGCTCTCCAACGATTCCCCCATCTTTCAAGAGAACCTAAGCTGAAAAAGTAGAGCCTGACAAGCGAATTCTCCAAACTTGGACCTTGTTTGCACTATAGGCCTGCATGATACAGTGGTGCCTGCTCTAAAGACCACCTGTACAAGACAACCACCTGTACAAACGACAACTCCCCACCCCTCCCTCCTCCCCCTCTCCCTCCCCAATTCTTGCATTATTTGGTATATTATTATATGAAAACTATCGAGCTAGGAAGGATGGCCCAGGACAGAGATAAATGAAAGGAGCTTGTATGTGGCCTATACCCTGCCAGGGGTGAAAGGCATCGATGGTGATGATGATGATGATGATGATGATGATGATGATGATGATGATGATGATGATGATGATGATGATGATGATGATGATGATGATGAAATCGCCAAAGAGAACCGCCTGTATAGGATGACTATTTTCTTTTCAACAATGGTTGATTGTCTTGGACATGCTCAACTGTTATTATAAGCTTCGCTTTGAGAACTCAATGTCCACCTTACCTTTCTGCTCGACCCAGTCCAATGACGGACTTCGTTTTGAACTGTTTTCCACAGCGTGTATAAATGTGGGCCAATGATGATCCACTGTTTTCTACTGGTGTATAAAAACATTCTGTTTTGGAAGCGGTAGCCAGGTCCCAAGGTCGAAGGTTTGGCATGATGTGGAGGTGGATAAAGAGAAATGTTGGCCAGTTTTGGGACGGCTATTACTCGGCAAACAGACCACCCGTTTAGTGTATTGATTTCGTTTAGTGGTACTTCAGAGGTACAAACTGTATTCGAAGACAAAAGATTGTCGTTGGGTGTACCTTCCATCGAGGTCATTACGATATCACTCGCACACACACACGCACACACACACACGCACACGCACACGCACACGCACACGCACACACATGCACACACACACACACGCACACACACACGCAAACACACACATGTACACACACACACAAGTTATGT